TTCCTAATTTTATTAGACTTTCTGGCCTCCACTAAAGCCACATAGATAGCCAGGAGTTACTATATCCTGCAGGGCTCAGGTCTTTACACTGATGCCTGAAGGACCAGTCTCTTTCTGTGCCATAGGGCCTGCCCCCATGCCAGGATGCTCACTGGCCCCAGCCACCTGCTGGGCTCCAGCAGGAGCTGAGCTGCCCTCGGCTTGGGGGGAGAGGAGGCAGCATGGGTGGGGCCAGTCTTGGCTAAGGGAAGGCTTAGCCTCCCTTGGCCTATTATACTCCCTGCCCATGGCTATAGGGACCCTAACTTAATTGAACGGGATGAGAATAACTTTATAAACATGACATTGGATGATCCACTGGAACGGTTGCCTTTGAGGCCTGCTCTTCTGGTATTGGGCAAGCACCTGGCACATACAAAAATCTGTGTTGAAATCACATTGAGCCAACCCCAGTCAACGGATTCTCCCTTAGATCAGGAAGGATGTTCCTCTTTAACTCATTCTTGTGGTAGGTGATTTTTCATATTGCAGCACCTAGACCAGGGGTGGCCAACCTGTGGCTCTGGAGTCACATGCGTCTCTTCAGAAGTTAATATGTGGCTCCTTGTATAGGCACCAACTCCGGGGCTGGAGCTACAGGCGCCAACTTTCGAATGTGCCAGGGGGTGCTCACTGCTCAACCCCTGGCTCTGCCACAGGCCCTGCCCTCATTCTACACCTTTGTACCCACTCCCCTGAGCCTGCAGAGCCCTCACTCCTCTCCCCTCCCTCCCAGAGCCTCCTGCATGCCACAAAACAGCTGATGGGGAGGTGCGTAGAGGGAAGGGGAGACACTGATCGGCGGGGCTGCCAGTGCATGGGAGGCGCTGGGAGCGGGTGGGAGAGCTGATGGGAGGCTGCTGATGTATTACTGTGGCTCTTTGGCAATGTACATTAGTAAATTCTGGCTCCTTCTCAGGCTCAGGTTGGCCAATCCTGACCTAGACACACAGACATGGCTTAGGAGGGCGTTTCCATAAGAATATAAGAACGGCCCTACTGGGTCAGACCAAGGGTCCATCTAGCCCAGTATCCTGTCTTACAACAGGTGCCAGGTGCCCCAGAGGGAATGAACAGAACAGGTAATCATCAAGTGATCCATCCCATCGCTCATTCCCAGCTTCTGGCAAACAGAGGCTAGGGACACCATTCCTGCCCATCCTGGCTAATAGCATTGATGGCCCTATCCTCCATGAATTTATCTAGTTCTTTTTTGAACCCTGTTATAGTTTTAGCCTTCACAACATCCTCTGGCAAGGAGTTCCACAGGTTGACTGTGCGTTGTGTGAAGAAATACTTCCTTTTATTTGTCTTAAACCTGCTGCCTATTAATTTTATTTGGTGATCCCTAGTTCTTGTGTTATGAGAAGTAGTAAACAACAGTTCCTTATCTACTTTCTCTATACCAGTCATGATTTTATAGACCTCAATCATATCTCCCCTTAGCCATCTCTTTTCCAAGCTGAAAAGTCCCAGTCTTATTAATCATACGGAAGCCATTCCATACCCCTAATCATTTTTGTTGCCCTTTTCTGAACCTTTTCCAATTCCAATATATCTTTTTTGAGATGGGGCGACCACATCTGCACACAGTATTCAAGATATGGGCGTACCATGGATTTATGTAGAGGCATCATGATATTTTTTGTCCTATTATCTATCTCTTTCTTAATTATTTCCAGCATTGTGTTCGCTTTTTTGACTGTCGCTGCTCATTGAGTGGATGTCTTCAGAGAACTATCCACAATGACTCCAAGATCTCTTTCTTGAGTGGTAACAGCTAATTTAGACCCCATCATTTTATATGTATAGTTGGGATTATGCTTTCCAATGTGCATTACTTTGCATTTATCAACATTAAATTTCATCTGCCATTTTATTGCTTAGTCACGCAGTTTTGAGAGATCCTTTTGTAGCTCTTCGCAGTCTGCCTGGGTCTTAACTATCTTTAGTAATTTTGTATCATCTGAAAATTTTGCCACCTCACTGTTTACCCCTTTTTCCAGATCATTTATGAATATGTTGAATAGGACTGGTCTCGGTACAGACCCCTGGGGGACACCACTATTTACCTCTCTCCACTCTGAAAACTGACCATTTATACCTACCCTTTGTTTCCTAACTTTTAATCAGTTACCAATCCATGAGAGAACCTTCCCTCTTATTCTGTGGCAGCTTACTTTGCGTAAGAGCCTTTGGCTTGTCAAAGGCTTTCTGAAAATCTAAGTACACTATATCCACTGGATCCCGTTGGTCCACATGCTTGTTGACACCCTCAGAGAATTCTAGTAGATTGGTGAGGCATGATTTCCCTTTACTAAAACCATGTTGACTCTTCCTCAACAAATTATGTTCATCTATGTGTCTGACAATATTGTGCTTTATTCTTCACTTCTTGCTTCCCCCCCCCCTTTTTTTAGCAGTGAAACTGGGCTAGCAACCACCTTCAGCAAATGAGATCTTTAAAGGGTCTCCCTAATACTGCATTTGTATAATCTGTGTAAGTATCTGTAGACTCATTGTTTAAAGACCAGCCTCTAATAAGGCACATTAATTCTGCTGGCATTTTGGGGCTCTATTCTGAGAATTCTAGTGGTCCTAATTCACACACATAGGCCATTTACTTCAGTGTGACTACCTGCTAAAGGATTTGCAGAATTGGACCCTTGCATGATTGCTTAAGACAATTTTAATGCATTTTTGTGTGTGCAAACCTTTTTATTTAAAGGTTAATCATGAAAAATGTATATCTTGTGTTTATGAGACTTTACTTGCTCTTTGGATGACTGAGTCTGTAATGTATATAGTACAGGATTTAGACACACTGTAGATGGGCAAGCATTTTACAAAGACCCTTTAGAGGTATTGGGCAATTTAAAAACAGATGTTGTTGACTTCAAAGGCTATTTCAAAATGTAGCACTTGGTTACTTTTTCATAGATTTATAGATTCATACATTCTAGGACTGGAAGGGACCTCGAGAGGTCATCGAGTCCAGTCCCCTGCTCTCATGGCAGGACCAAATACTGTCTAGACCATCCCATTCTTTAACACCTACTATAAGTCCTAATCATTTTTTAATTAAATGTAATTAAACTGCTTCATAAACAAATCACTGAGCAAATTTCATCTGAAACCTAAGCACATTTGAGTGTTGTAAGGGGAGAAAAAGTTGGCATGAATGGGAATTTTGACTCCTTCGCTTCCCTTTGCTCCACCAGCCTTCCTTATAACGCTTGCCCCTCTGTGCCGGAGCTCCTAGAAGCACATTATACTTTTTAAAAACTGAACCCCACAAGCCTTTCTTGCGGGGGACTCTCAGGGGAAGTTCTGAACGCGGGAGGCCTCCCGGCCTGGGGGCCGGCGGGCGGCCCGGGGCTTCTCCGACCGCGAAGGGGTCTGGAGT